CAAACAAAAGCTTAAAAAGAAGAAATAAGCGAGAAGAAGGTTGAGAAGACATAATAAGAAGAAATAAAACAAAAAATTGATTTTCACAAATTGCAAGAAAACTTAAATGATAAGTTAAACAAAAAGATTACTCTTTAAAAAAACAGCGAAGGTAATTATTCATATTATTAATATAATTATGTTAGGCTTTGTGTAAAGTTAAACATAATAAACAGGGTTGTCATAAAGAAACTCAAAAACTATTTTTCATAACAATTTTTTTAAAGATAAAAATGTTTTCCAGAAGAATAAATAATATACATAATAAAAAAAAAATATTTTATATGTTATTATCATTCCTTTGGAAAAAAGTATTTACAAAATAAATAAGAAGAAAAGATAGTTTATGGTAATCGAAACGTATTTAAATTAAACAAAAGATATCAACAATCACATTTTGAATCTTTTTTACTGTTCGTTGTTGAAGGGGTTTGATTGACATTAATCAAATCTGGTTCGTCATCAATTTCATTAATAGGATCTTGTAATATTTCATTAATTCTTTCACAAAGAGTAACAAAGACTTCGTTAACGTCTAAAGTATAAATTTTTGAGACTAATAAAAATAAAATGAAAACAAACTAGTTCCTGTTTTTGCTGAACAAGTCATATGAAGAACTCCATATTTATCAATAATTTCTTTAACTTTTGTTTCGTCTACATTTGTTTGTAGGTCAGACTTACAACCAACTAACATCCAGATAACATTATCTTCTGCTTTATTTTCTTTTTCAGTAATCCACATAGGAATACTTGTTAAACTTTTTGGAGAAGTAATATCATAACAAATGATAATACCTTGTGCGTCACGAAAGAAATTTGATGCTAATGATCTGAATCGTTCTTGACCAGCTATTAATTAAGTAATTAAGTTTTATTCAAATAAAAGAAAAACAAACCAGTATCCCAAATATTAATATTCATATCTCTATCACTTAAATGTATTGTTTTTTGAAAACAAGAAGAAACAACAGTTGATAAATGAGTATCTAAATAATCATCTGTAACTAATCTTTGGATTAGAGAAGTTTTACCAGTGAAAGAATCTCCAACAAGAACAACTTTAATTCCACGAGTACTCATTTTAAATATGATTTTTTGTTTATAGAATATTGAGTTACTTCTATATCTTTTTTTCTAATAAAAACAATGGGATTAAATTTGAAAAATATAAAAAATAGATATAGAACTATTTATATATATATTTATAGTTCATTTTTAAATTTTAGAATTATTTTTAAATTGAATTTATATTTTAAGAGTTTGAGTAATGAAAAATGAAAAGTGTCACTTAATCGAAATACAAAGAAGAAAAAAGAAATGGAGGTTTATTTTTACATTGAGATGCAAGTTTAAATTTAGTTGAATATTTTTCTGATTAATATTAAGAAAATTCCACGAAAAGGAAACCCTTCTTGTATGATTTGAATCACTGAAATAATTCAAGAAAAAAGTCGATACAATAACTTTGAGTTCAATAGTTCAACCCTTTATTCAAAGAAAGAAGAAATACAATTCTATATTAAAAACAGAAAATCCAAAAAAAAACCCTCTAAAAGAACCCTGTGATATTTAAAGAAATGATGATTTAATCTTAGTTCAAAGAATTAAAAATTGAATCTAAGAGATGAATAGTTCAACAACAGTCTTTGTGGCACGTATAGGAAATAGAAGAGAAAAAGGATTAAGATATCTTTGTGGATATTATGGAGAAATAATGGAAGTTACTCTATTGAGTGATGGAGAAAAGAAAAAAGCATGTGGTTTTGTTAAATTTAAAAGAGTGGAAGATGCTATTCGATGTGTTTGTGATGCAAAAGAAAAGAAAGGAATTTTTGCTGAAAATAATAAAGTTATTATTGAATGGGCTAAGTCATCACAAATAAAAGAAAGTGATTTGGATAAAACAACACTTTATATTACTGGTATGAGTAAATGTGATGAATCTTTTATTAAAAGTAAAATGGAGACATATGGTTTAATTCAAAAAATCACTATTCCAAGAGGAGAACAAACATATGCATTTGTTAAATTTGCAAATGAAAGTGATGCTTCAAAAGCTAAAGATGCTGAAAATGGAAAAGAGTGGAATGGTAAAAGAGTCGTTATTGAATTTTCTGAAGCTCAAACAAGTAAAAGAAATAGAAGACAAAAAGCAACAATGAAAAGATTTGCACAATTCTTTGGTGCTATTTCTTCACCAGCATCACCTGGTTTAGAGTATTGTTCAACTGATGAATCTGGTAGTCAAGAAGAATATGACTCATGTGATGATTGTTTATTAACACAAAAAGAAGAAGATGAGTCAGATAATATTATAAGTGGTTCTATTGATTGGAATATTTTAGCTAATCATTATGGTACTCCAGCTCTTTGGGAAAGTGATGAAGAAGAATTACCTATTTTTGCTAGTTTACGTCAAAAAGAAGAAAAAATAAATCTTCCACTTTGTATTGAATCAATTCTTTACTAAAGACTTTACCCAAATAATCATTTCATTATAACTTGTTTTTATTATTTAATATATTTGGTTTTTTAATTATATTACTTTGATCCAGAACATTCAATAATATTGTAACTTCCTTGTGGTATAACATTAAATGTAATTCCTAAAAGTTGTTTTAATAATACAAACATAGTTTCAGAATGTAATGATATTTTACCACATGATATCATAGAATGACCATTTGCTAATGCCATTGGAATTAATAATTGATCTTGAAGATATTCATCACAACATCCTCCATGTTCGAATTCTTCATATAATTTATTTAATGTTCTAGTTATAAGATTTTTAAACGTTTCATTATTTTCTTGAACACAATATGATGATATTCTACATTGTTCAAACTCAATATATAATTCAACATATTTGGTTTTTCCATTTGAATGACACATTCCATCCACTTCACATACTAATGGCTCTCCATTTATTCTAATGTTCTTCCTACATTCTTTTTTAACAAATTGAAGTATTGAAATTATTTCTTCATCATCTCCTTTTCCACCTACAATTTGTCCACTTATTTTAATTCCATTTCCACGTTCAATTAATTTAATTGGTTGGATAGATGAAGGAGATTGAACTAAACATTCAATTTCTCCTCCTCCTTTTGGGAAAAACCCATACTTTTTGAGTTGAACATTAAGTGTTATTCCCATTAATTTAAGTGCTGGTGATAATATGTCATTGTAAAATTCAGGAGTTGGTGCCCATAACGCATGTGTTCCTCCAAATATTGATACTTGATGACTTCCTTCTATACTAATCAATATAGGAAGAAGAGATTGTAATACTAAACAACAACTTCCTGCACCTTTCATTTTGAATGTTTTAACAATTGGCTCTTTCACGTTTTTACCTTTACTTCCTTCAAACAATAATTCTAATTGTTTTAAACGAATATTTTCTAATGGAATTCCAAAAATCTCTCCTATTGATTTAATACAAACAATATGTTGATCTGCAAGTCCTGGTTTTGGTCTATTCTTTCTAATCGAATGGATCATAATATCAAAATGTTTAATTGAGGCAATGGAACAACAAGTCCTTATTATTTGACCACCACCTTCAAGTTGACCACCATCAATTTCCATTATTAATAATTGAATATTTCAAGTTATATCTTAAAATACTGTTTTGAGTCTTAAGTAAATGTGAATAAATTTAAGAAAAGAACTATAAAGGAATAGTTTTTAATAATTCAAATTATTTTCTTGCTTCAAAGAATAAATACGGCAATAATGCTCCACACAACGTCACCCAGATAAACACAGGCAATCCATAAACACAAAATTCTTTCATTGTATAATTAGCATGACGATAAGCAATAAAATGGGTTGGATAACCTATTGCCATTAAGAAACAACTAGACGATGCGATCATCATGGTATACATTCCTGACTTAATTCCTATAATTGCACCATGTGGAGATGAGTCATTAATACCATAATACAAATTCCATACAACAGGGAACATAATATCAACAATCATAGTATTAGCTAATGGTTGAGCAAGAATTAGTGTTGGTAAGAAAATACCTAATAAAATACCAAATTTACCACATGGATAGAACCATTTTGTTGTTGATAAGGCTAACAAATTACCAATTCCACTTTTATCTATTGCAGCACTAATGCCATAAGACGCTCCAACTACGCACAAGACTTGAACATCGATCGAGTTATATACATCTTTAACTGTCATACATCCAGTAACAATTAATATTAATACACTAACAAACCCTGATATAGCCAATGTAGTAACTTTAGTTGCTTCAAGAATACATGGAATAAGAAGACATAATAAAGGAATAATAATCTTAAATAGATTTGTTGGTGCAGGTAATTGAATACCAATATCAGTAACAATATGAAATGAATCTCCTCTTAACTCTTTTTCTCCTTTTGTTAATAAAATATATGTTGATGTAGCTGATAAAATGTCAATGGTTTTTAATTCTTCTTCCCATTTATCTTCATCAATACTTACTCCAAGAACACTAACATTTCTTTCAAACAACGTATCTACTTTTTGTCCTATTAATGGGTCACTTGGATTTAATGCAACTTCATACACTTTAGTATTTGATAAATCTGTAATTGTTGGATCTTCTGGAACAATACCATTATAAGTTAACACATCATCTAATATTTTTGATGGAGCAGTATAACATAAAATATCATCAGCTTGAATAACTAAATCTTCAGTTACTTGTTCATATGTTGCACCTCTTCTAATAGTTCTTAAAATACCACAAGGAGGTTTAATTAATACAGTTTTTCCAATTGGTACACCAACAAATCTTGAAGCACTAGTTACTCTAAATGAGAAATAATAAATTTTATTTGTTATATGAGATAATGAATCTTTTTTACTTGGTAATAAATTACTTGCAAAGATAATATAAATTAATGCAGGAATTACAATAATAAATGATATTACACTAATTTCAAATATTGGCATAGTAATATTAAGATGAATACCTCTTTTATCTAATTCATTAACTTTTTCTAATAATAATTTTCTAGCTCTATGAAATGATGAATTACCAATGATAGAATTCATTCCACCAAGAATAGCAGCAAATGAGATTGGTAATACAACTTTACTTACTGCAATACCTGATGTTTTTTTCCATGAAAATATAATTGAAATACCAATCATTACTACTGGTGTATTGTCTATAAAAATAGATAGTGTAGCAACAGTAATTACCATTAATAATAATGATGGCCAAACTCTTGTTTGATAAGTTTCTGGTAATATATTTCTTGTTATAAATTCTAAGCTTCTATTCTTTACTATTGCTGATGAAAGAATATATGAAACTATAAGTGTAATAAATGTACGATCACTAAAACCTTGAAAACCTTGACTTGGTGTAATAACATTACATGATATTAAGAATCCAACAACAGACATCATAATTACTCCTGGATGATACATTTCACTAAGAATTAATGTCATCATTACTCCTAATGATATTAAACATATAACTGTCTTATAATTAACTCCTTCTATTTGTTCATATTTCCAATCACTAAAATAAACTATCATAGAAAATGTTATAAACACAATAACAAAAACTACACAATACCATTTCGCTTTTAATAAATTAATAAAATACCTTATTGCTTTCATTGTATTCCATTGCATTGCCTTTTCTTCTTTTCTAAACATTTCAATATCATTTTCAATGATAAAATTATCATTTGTTTGACTCATATCAATAAGCCCATCAAAGGAAGTAAGGCGTTCTTCTTTTGATAAAAACGGTTCATTCATCAGAAAAATCTTTAATATAAATATTTAGTTCTATTAATTAATGGAATGAACTAAAATATATTCTTCATTTTTTTTTAATGCAAAAAATTCATAAAAAAAATTTGATTATTTGGTTGTTGATAAAAAATTTTAAAACTAATAAATAATAATACTAAAAAAATTTGATTAAATGGCAACCAATAAAATTGAGCAAATCCAATCTCAAATAAATGAGATATTAACACTCATCAATTCATCACTTCCTCCTATCCAAGAAAAAACAGAAAATTTTAGAAAAGTAATTGATCAAGCAGCAAATAATGCTTCTGGTATTAATAGTGATATTAAACGAATAGAGAGAACCCAAGACAGAATTAATTTAGTCCTTCAAATGTTAGTTGTTGCTAAAGAACAACGTAGTGTTGTTAATAAATGTAAAGAGTCATTTAAAACAAAAGACTATGATGGAACAGTTAGACATTTTGTTCAGTTAAAAAGTTATGGAAATGAGTGTAGTCGTATTATGAAAGAAGAAATTAATTTGTTACAAAAAGGCATTGAAGAAGAGTTTATGAATAATTTTAAAAATGCAACAGAAAAAGGAGACATGAAACAAATTCTTCGTTATACTGACTTAATGATGAGGATAGGATCTTCAGAATTTGCAACCAAACAATATATTACATATTATACAACTTTAATTTTAAATGAATCAACTACAATTAAAGAAAAATTACTCAAACTTGATATTAATACAATAAAAGCTGAAGCTATCTTTACTAAAACTATTCAAGGATTTGTAGACTTTTCATTAAAAGTTGTTTCTAGACAAAATAGTATCAAAGCTATTGATGTGTTTCAACCAGACAAATATTATTTTATTATTCAACAATTATATGATCAAATTAATATTTGTGTACTTACACTAGTTATTACTTTTACTTCTATTAGAAGAATTTCATCACTTCAAACTCAAAAAGGAACAAAAGATTACCCAGAACAAGATGTATTAATTGTTCTCGATGAAACTTCATCAATTAGTAATGTTATTTCATTTTATAAAGATTATTTTAATGATTTCTTAGGTAAAATTAATGCAAGTGATGAAGTCAAAAATAAACCAATAGAAAGTATAAAAAAACTTGATGATGAATTAGACAAACTATTGAACAGTTTTGTTTTATTAGAAGAATCTTATGTTTCTGCTACTTTAACACATTCTATTAAAGAACGTATTAAAATCTCTGAATTTGGAGAAGCTCTTGACTTATTCTTTTATGTTCTTCAACAAAGTGCTGAACGAGTTGTATTAACTAAATCATTTCAAACAATATGTGCCATTATTAATCTTCATGTTAATATGATTAAAAGTTATCTTCTTCCAATGACAAAAAATGTAGTTAGAGATAACACTAGTTTTACTAATGTTCTTTCTAAAGAGGCTCTTACTTGTATTGACTCTTGTGAAGCAAATATTATTAAATTACATTCAACACTCTCTTTAAAAATAAACACATTATGGAGAAATAATTCTAAGTATCTTGAGATGGTTAATACAAATTTAGACGATCTTTTGGCAACAAGAGAGTTATTTACTAGTCTTTCAAATTAATTCATTTTTTTAGTATTTGTCTCAATATCTTATAACGATTTTAAGAGTTGTTGTTTATTTTAGTGGAAGTTTTTTAGGCAAAAAGAAAAAAAAATTAACTTTTAATCATTTAATTCAAAACACAATGAGAAAAAACATACAAAATCCAGTTATTTCATCTAATACTCTTAATAAAGAATCACTAACAAACGAAATAAGACCAGGATTTACCAAGTCTTGGGAAGACTTTGATCGTATCTTCAGAGATATCAAAAACGAAATCAATGAAAGAGAAGAGAAAAAAAGACAAGAAAAACTTGAGAATGAATACCTTATTGATGTCGCTGCAGAAGAATTTAAATTATCCCAACAAAGTATTCAAACAATGAAAGACAGTGTTATATCAAATACAAAAAAACCTCAAATTAAAGAACTTAAATTAAAGCGAATTATTGGTAACAAGTCAGGACAGTTCCAAATTGATGAAACCAGAAAAACTAATGATGAAATCGAAGAAATTCCAACTCAAGAATTTGAACTTATTAAAAAGAAACAAATTGAGAAAAAGAAAAATGATGATGATCTTGAGATTGAAAGTGATTCTGATGATTGGAGTAAAAAGTCATTAATTAATAAAGATAATCCAAAAAGAAATGAAAAAAGAGAAGATGATGATATTGATATTACTCCTTTTCCAACTCAAAGTGAAGATGGGAGTTTTGGTGTAAAGAGTTGGATCTTAAACAACAACACTCAAGAAAAAGCATTGGCGTCTAATCCTGAATTTACAAAAGAATGTCAAGGTAATACAATAGAAGAAATGCTAGATAGTCAAAACACAAAAAATCCTAAAAATGAAAAGAAAAGTGAAATCGAAGGAGAACAGGTAAGTATTGAAAAGTCATACAAAATGAATGAAGGAAAGTTATTAGAAAAGAAAACAGAATTGACAGAAATACAATTAAACACTAATGATATTCAAAAAGAAAAATATCAAATGCAAGAAACACAAGTGACTCAAAACAAATTATTCAATAACATAACTCATAGTGAAGGAACAACAAATACTAAAACTATTACTACAATACCAAACATAGAGATAAGTTCTAGTACCAATTTGCAACAAGAAGAAGCCATAAAAAATCAATTAAATGAAGAACTAGAAACAACTGAAGGTGAAATTGAAAATACTGAAGTCCAAAAGAAAGAAAGTAATAGTGATGGTATGATGGAATTAGAAGAGGATAGTATTAGTTTAATAAATAAAATAGAAGAAAAAAATCAATACAGCTTTAGACTCCCACATGAATTAAAAAATTTACAAGTATCATTATGTTTATTGATATACAAATTTATGTATTGTGGAGCTCCATACAAAGTTTATGGATGTTATGATGAAAAATTCAATGTATTTATTGTTATTACTAAATTAACTGTAGAAAACTATCCATCAACTACTAATTTTAAAACTCTTCAAAAATTTAGTGAAAAATTACCTATTTTAATTAATAAAGAACGACCAAAATATCAAATAAAAGACCGTGAAGTACCACCACCTGTAAATGATATAATTAATGAAAATATTAAAGAAGTTATAAAGGAAATAAAACATTGTAAAGATGCAACAAAATTAATATGATTAATTAGAAAAGATAACAAGAGAAATATTCTAGTTGTTTTAATTAATTAACGTTTTTAGATTGTTTTTAAGACTTCATTCATTTTGATTTAAATGTTTCATTTTCAGGAACGAATGCATTCATGAAACTTGCTTCATTAACATTATCATTACCAAATAATTTAGCCATAATTGGTTTAAATGCCATTCTCATTAAGACATAAAAGAAGAATAATGAACAATCAGTCATATCATCACCAGGAAGGTTACGGTGTGTTACTTTTGTAAAAAAAGAGAATGGCTGGAATGGTAATTTACCAACTTTTACAGGTTCAAACATATAATTAACTGCAATAGTAGATACTATCATAAACACTAAATTTAAAATCATTGGTTTAAATTTATGAAAAGCGATTTGTTGTTTAAGAGTTGCTTGGTCTTTTTCTAATTTTTCTCGCTTTTTTTTATTTTCATATCCTCCTAATTTTGAAACTGATATATAAGTAATATCCTTTTTTTATAATTAAATAAACAAACTCTTTTGTTCTAATGCCTCCGCTTCATTATTTAAAGATATATATACAGGACTGTCAGTAACAAAATATTTTGTAATAAACTCAGAAATTGCACAACATACTAATGAATATACAGTAATAGCAATTTGAGACAAAATCATTATTAAAATAACTAAGATCTTATCTTTTTTTTAGTATTAGGTTTCCACTTTAATTAAATTCTAATAAAAATACTATTCAATTAAATATTATGAAGATATAAAATTTTTATTTGGCAACCTCATCTAAAATGTTCATATTGACTATACTCCAAATACATTATTTAGAATAAACAACTAATTAATTTTTTTTGGTCAACCAAAAAATGTGTTTGGTCATTAAAAATTATATTAATGAATAACTTATTTAAAAACATTTATACAAGTGATTCAATAGAGATAATTTGTTTTAGTTAGTTATTAATTTATTTTTGTAATTCATTTCAAAACTATTGCAATTTTCAGAGAACAGTGAATAGATGCGTTGAAATATTTTAGTTTCAAAAGACTATGAAATACAAGATTGTCAAGAAATGAATAAAAAAAGAAAAAAGGAGATAAAAAAGAAAAAATAAATGAGAGATCGCCGCTGAAGTTCTAACATTTGCTTTTTTGAGAAGCAAGATCTGGAAATCACAAAATATGACAACCAGTGAATTGATTGATGATTATTTTTCAATCTTAGATATTGACCATGACAAGAAGATTTCTCGGGATCAAGTC